GCCACCCTGCTGCTGCACAGCCACTGCCTCTGTGCTGATGCCCACAGGTTGCTGGTGGGAGCGTGGTGGAGAGATGGGAGCTGGGTGTGGGGCATCTCGTGTCTCCTCCTGAGTCTGTACAGGATCTCAGCTTTGTTTAAGAGCTCTGGGCCCTCCCAGCTGAAAACTGGTGTCACCAATGCCCCTGAGGAGTGTAAGCTTGGGTGGCGTTTAGCACATGGAAGGGGAGTCCTGTATGGAGTGAACCGGTGTCTCCGGCAGGGTGTGGGGTTGTGCCTGCCCACCAAGGGTGGTACGGCTGTCTCCATTTTATGGTGGGAGAGGGCTTGGGCTTGATCCTTTCAGCTGTCCTCCCAGCTGAGTGCACATCCAGCTACCAGCCTGTGATAACAGATGCATTTAGCTACCAAAGAACCATATCGTTTTATTGGTATCCAACAGCCCAAGCCTTTCCTATGCTGCTCACAGGAAGTGCTTGGGTTGTGTTAGCAAACATAAGATACCTTAGATAAAATATCTTGGTAAACATAAGCAAAGACTGGAATAAAAATGGTAAAGTCGAGAGTTCTGCCTGCTTTGTTGAGGGCAGTGAAGTCCTTTTTTCCTGCTTGCTCCAAAGGAAGAGCAGCCCCATGTCTGAACCCTCGCCAGCAGCAATCGCTGACCTTCCAGGATCAAGTCCTGTTGTTGCTGAGCTGCTGCCAAGTGAGCAATGGCTTTGCAGCACGGAAGCGGGTAGAGTTTGGTAGCAAAGGCAATTGCATATCATTACATGTTTTCCTTACTCTTCAGCCTTATTCACTTCGATACCTGTTCTGCACCTATTCACCAGCCCTGATGTCAGTCCCTTCTGAACTCAAAGCCTAGTAATGAAGTCACCTTAAAATGAAGCTGGTGCTAATGTGTTTTTCGGGGTAGAGAGCCAGAAACGTGCAGAAACATTTTGCTGATTTGAGTCTTTATGGCTTCAAGAAGTAAATCACCTCAGAGCAGCAAAAAAGTGGTGAGGGGCAGTGAAATTAACTTTGGGTCATTTATAATATCTTATATGTCATACATATGCACGACCCTTAGTGAAGTCCCAGCCTGATCTGAGCATCTCTTTGTATCTCATGAAGCTGGGCAAAGTTGAACTTCTCAAAGCAGCAGTGCCTTTGGAGTTGCTGTAATTTAGGTGCAGCTGTGGTCACATCTGCAGCCCTGGCTGAGCTGGATGTGTGTTAGTGCAGGAATCCCTGCTGCCTGGTGGCTTTTTCCATTTCATCACCGTGTTCTGCTTACAGACAGTCTTGAATTGGTTTATGAATTTTGCGCATTCTCTCTCGTTAAGTTTGTCCAGTGAGCAGCTCAGTGGCAGCCTGGGTTCAAACAGGGTCCATGGGGGCTGCTGTAACGTGAGCAACGGTGCTGTTAGGTAGCGGTGGGAAACTGGGAAATCTTTAGGTTTGGTGAGTTTGCTGTTGCAGGAACCACACAAAGCTCAGTGGTTTCCGTTCTCAGGGCTCAGCATGGGGATGGGTTTCAATTCATATGCATTCATTCACCCTCCCCCAGGATTTCCCCTGAAGCTTGGAAGTTGTCATGGGACTTCGAGTCCAAAGCTTTCATTTCTGCCCTGTTTGGTGCTGCTGGTGTGAGATGTCATGTGGTGCTCAGCTAAAATGAACCTTCAGGAAAGATCAGGAGCAGGAGGGTGACAGGGCAGAAGTTTTCCCAGACATGGTGAAGGCATCCCAGGGCTATTTTGTAAATCCTGGCTGTGTTAGTGAGCAAGGCAATAGAAGCTGGAAGGAGGTTGGAGGGGAGACATGGAGGTAAAGAGAGTTCGGAAAGCAGGAGTTAGAGCTGAACTGTGTTTCGCACACTCTGTTATTGCTAGAATACTACGTTAAAATGAATTTTATGAAATCTCAAAGAAGTATAATGAATGCTGCCAAATTTTCTGATTCTCTGTCAGCTTCAGGGCAAGGTTTTGTTCCCCTTAGGCCGGGCCTATGATAGTTAGAAAATATTTGCTCCTTCACTTAGTTTTCCAGCCCTCATGACCCTACAGAAAAGCTCAAAGCTGCATCCCAGGCAATCAAAGATACATTCTTTCAGTTAAAAACATGAAGATAAAGCAACAAATCCATGTATTTATTAAACTATATTTTTGTTATGATTTTTCTCAATGTCAGTCCTGACTTTTGTTGTTTAGAGTGGGGTTTGTAACTCCTGAATTCCAGAGACCTCATTTGGGATCAGGGTCATAGCGTGACCCAGCCACTGGTTCGATAGCAAAAGCTTCACACAGCCCTAGCTGTCGCTGGCCGTGCTGTGATTGTGTTTTGAAAAAGACCCAGAACAACAGAGGAAAGAAACACGTTTGAATCTCAAGGACAGCCCAGCTGCAGCATCTCATCCTCTTGACTTAGTGGTTAACAGGAGCGGAGGGTCTGCCCCGGTTTGAATTTTATCTGTGTGACATTAATGCTGTCAGTGAGCATCTCCTGATGTGAGAGTGCGTTGTTTTGCAGGAGCCAGGCCAAAGAGACTCCAAAGGAACAGCATGGACAGCTTAGACCTCCTGAAGTTCCCTTCTGAAAAGGTAAGCAAAGATGTCTGGCCTCAGAGATTAAATATCAGTAGGAATCTGTAATGGCTTGTTGACTGGCTTCATTTGCAGGGAAGTATGCAATTAGCAGATATCATTGGAGTCAATGGGATTAACCAAAGAGGGTTTCTAGAGAGCTTGGAGGAGAGGAACAGCTGGTCTAACTAAAAAGGCACTTAACAACTGAAAGCTGAAAAAGCCTCTTGGATGCTTTTTTGAAAAAACAGCCCTTAATAAAGGGATAGAGAGAGGATAATCGTTAGCATTTTAGCCCCTTTAGTGGCTGGTGGCAAATCTCAATGCCTTATTAGCCCAGTGGAGTGCTGCATTCAGCACAAGTAGGGAAGGAGAGGTCAGAAGCAGGAGATGGTGCGTTGCAGGAGGCAGAGGGTTTTGTTCCCAGGGGCTCAAAGGACTGCCTCTGCTCCGGTTCACTGCTGGAAATGTCAGATCCAAGCAGATCAGCATTTTCTCAGTCTCCCCAGGGCGAAGGCTGTTGCTACAGTCAGCTGGGAGGCACTGAGCCTTTCCGCCTACAGGGATCATTTAAGTTCCTCAGAAAATCCTGCACAGGATCGCGGGGTCTGCCCTGCAGCAGGCACTGGTGCTGCCCACAGGGCACAGTCGTGCCTGTTCCCAGAGGACATGGCAGAGGGCAGGCAGCCGTGCTCTGCCTTTTTGGAAAAGGCACAAATAATTTACACTCATCCAGCGCTTTCCAGGCACAGCTCTCCTGAGTGTCCCAGGAAGCATTTCTCCTTTTTACAGAAGTGTCACAGAGAGACAAAACTCGCCCAAGTTGCAGGTAGGTGCAGATGGTCGATGGGAAACAACCGCAGGCTTGCAAAACCATTGGAGTGCCTAAACATCCCAGTAAGCACTGGGAGGACCAGACAAAAGCTCCTTCCTGAATTAACTCTCTTTGGGAGTTAAATGCCAAATGCACTTATGTATTTTTATTAGTTCTCCCAACTGCCCACTAGCCATTTTGGCTCCTACCTGCTCTAAACAGTGCAACTCCATCTCTAGGGCATTGCTAGCAGGGACAGCAATGCCTGATGTCTGGGACATTTGATTGTGTATCCTCATCGGAGCAGCATGGCCCAGAGAACTGGCAGGGAGAGTTTTGCTGATGTGTGATTTGCTGCTAATGCTGTTAATGCTGTTGGTTTCCTACTCTCTGCTGTAAAAGCTGAGCCTCGTTCAATAGTTCAGGCAGGGTTATGGGGTATCAGTGGTTTCACAAGGAGGATGGAGTCGACAGGAGCTGTGGGTAGTCCCTAACTGTGGAGTCAGACGTGAGTTGTCCCATTCGCCCTGCAGTGGTCCTCTGGAGTCTGTACAAGTTCACCTCTCCTTGCAAAAAGTTTTGGATGCAATTCCCCTGCTGTGGCTCCCAGGGAGAGGCGATTACAGTCATGGGAGAGGGCTGTTTGCTTCAAGCTTGCTATGGTGAGGGTGATAAGATTGTAAAGAACAAATCAGTGGAGTGAACTGTGATCTCTCCAGCATCCTCTCGTTACTGTCTCGCCCTCTCTGTCCTTCGTCTCTGCCAGGAATAGCCTTCAAGTCAGCAGGGACTCTGACCGTTCAGGCCGGGAACTCTTGTCCAATGCCTCTGCATGGAGTTGTGTGTCTGGGCAGAGCGCGTCTGCCAGGACGCACCCGCGCCGGCTCTGGATGCCCCAGCAGATAGCGGGAATGCCGCTTCCCTATCATCCTGCTCTCTCCAGCCTGTGCCTTATTCCTTGTTTTGAGCTTCTCTGGTTTTAGCTCCCAGCCATAGGTTCTTGTTTATTCCTCTCTCTGCTAGACTAAAAATCTCTTTATCATATGCTGGTTTTTACCCTGAAGCTGCTTACGTGCTGTAATTGAGTCATCCATTCTTTTTGTCATGAACTGAACAGTTTGAGGGCTCTAACTAAGGCAGTAAGGCACTGTAAGGCAGTCTCTTTCCAGTTCTGAAATCCACTTCTGTGGCTGCTTTTCAAAACATGGACACCAGCCTGGCTGCAGTTGGTCTCATCAATAGCATTTGGGTAAATGAATCTCTCCTTATTTGTTCTCACTATTGCCGGTTGTATTGCAAGGAATGAAAGGTCTTTTTGGCTACAGTATCCCACTGTGCTGTCTGTGTGCTGTGACTTCAGATCCTTTTCAGTATCCTTGGCTTTTCAGCGCGCGTGCCCTTAAATCCCAACCTTGTGGGCCCTTGGGTCACCTCCTGAGCTGTGCTCGAGCTTCTTTCACGTGCATGTAGTTGCTGCAGTGAGGACACCCTGGGCTGTCCCCTCAATGCTTTATATATGATAAAGAGGTGGTTTGCAGCCCAAAGCATCAAGCAGGTTTAGGCACTCAGCTCCCACTGGTTACATGTAAAATGCCTGCTGCCTTTAATAAGTATCTTTGGAGCTAAACGCTGAATACTCCTGCTGATGCTTCTGTACGAGGGCCTCATCTGCGTGACAGCAGTAATGAGGCTGTTATGATAATACAGGCAGGGCCATTAACCTGAGTCTTTTGACAGGGAAGGGATAGAGTTATGTGTGTCTTAGGGGAAGGGGGTGAGAACGGAGGAGCCAAGCACGGGGCAGGGCCTGGAAAATCAAAGTGAGGAGCTGCAGCGAGAAAGGACAAAAACTAGAATTCAGGAGATGTGTAATCTCTGTGACCTCATTTCCCCATGCATTACATGGGGGTGATGATCCTATATTTTATCTGTCTATGGCAGCACTGAGCAGAAGCCTTTAAGAGAGCAAAGGGGGACAGCAGCGAGAGAACAGGGGACTGCTTGTAACCATCTGCTGTAGTTAAGTCATGTTACCCCGCAGCCCGCACGTGCTTCTGGTAGCATGAGGCTTGGCAAAAGTGCCAACTGGGGCTCCAACCGTTCATGTTAATCTGCCTTTTAGGAAACATTGGGTAGGGGCCCATCTTCTTGCTGAAGCCAGTGGGAGGCACTGAAGCAGGCAATGCTTCGTGTGTGCTGGGAGCCAAATCCTAGAGGTGGGAAATGCTGTGGAGTATCTAGCATGGCCATGTTCCCTGGGGCATGGTCAGGTTATCCATGGGTCAGTACAGGCTGCAGTGCAGCTGGGTGCTGGGGAAAAGTGAAGATAGAGCAAGTTGAGGGATTTGTGCCAAGAGTTTGGTATCCTGGGCAAGCTAAGCTTGCCACTCTGTTTGGAAGAGGTTTTTATGAGTGCAGTTGCCAGAAATCACTAGAGGCAGTGACTTTTTCTGGACCTTTCATCCATCATTCCCTATGCCTGTAAATAAGCCAGCCATGTGTCTACCGCCATACCTGGATTTTTTAAGAGGATGCTACTTCTCCCTGACTTCTCCATGTGGAGAAATTGATTACTGTGTGTCATTCGGGTGATGCTTCATCTCCACAGGGAGTGATTTTAATGACTGGAGAGAGGCAAAATGTCCTTATTTAACTCTGCACATCATGAGTGGCAACTCACACCATCTAAACTCCCCGTTAACTTCTTGCTTCTTTGCATCTCCTGTTCTGTGGACACTTGCCAACAGATCTCCACATAAACCTGAGACAGGCAATTTTTGCAATGACTATTTCTTGCTTTCCCAAGGACCAGAATGGGGACAGCCATCACGTGGGAGACCTGAAGATCCCTGGAAAAGAGTTCTTGTCATTACCTGCAAGGTCAAAGAAATACCGGGAGCACCAGTCCAGTTCAGAGAGGAAGTCCCAGGGGTCAAGTACATCGCCGCTGGATACCAGCGAAGTCCGAGTCCAGGTGTCACAGTCGGTAGGAAGATGTTTTTTTTCCTCCAGTACTGATCTGGGAGTTTCTTACAGCATATTCATTCTTACCTCATTTCTAACCTGGTATGGGGGAGCTGTGTGGCCTATTGGCTGGAAAACAGAGCCTGCATATAGCTCTGTGGTTGACTGTATGGGCAACTGTAGGCAAATCATTTTGGCTTTTTGAGCTTCAGCTTTACTGTCCATCAAGCAGAATAATGGCACCAACCTCCATCATGAACTGGTTTATAAGAGCTTGGTATTTAGTGGTGGTATCGGTAACCTTCTGTTGAGGGATGAGTGTTTAGACCTGAACTTTCCTGAGTTTGTGACTGTCAGGATGCGATGCCTTGAATTCCAGAAGAACACAGAAATTTGCAACCCTTGCTGTGTGGAGCCTGACTTGATCAGCCTCCTGGGGTTCATGAGGAGTGGGCTTGTTGCCTTCGAGAAACAGAGCTCTTTTCAGGTTTTTGATGAGCAACCAAAAATGCTGGTTGCCTTTGCCAAATCTAGGACCTTAGGAGTTGTTCCCTCTCATCTCCTTATCACACTGATGGTCTCCAGAGTGGCGACGTGCAGAGTGTTTTCTTTGAATTCATCAATCATTAGGCAGAGATGATAGAAAATCATTGTCTATGAGCTTCTCTTTGGAAGAAAGTTAGGTGGAGCATACTTCCTAAAGAGCAGAAGCTGACAAGAGGAGCTGGCCCTGATGTCAGTGATCTATGGGTTACTGGCATGCAGTAAGTCCTGTGTTGGGTGTTGAAGAGCTGACTCAATCTGTGCTTGGCTCCCGGGAAGGTGGTGGGGATCCATGTCCTGGAAGGCTCTCCACATGCCTTTTTGAACAATTGGGCTGTTTGTTAAGCCGTTATCCTCTGGTTGCGTTGAAGTTTGTTGTGACACATGGCAAATACAATGTACTGGGGAGGTTTCCTGCAGCTGTGTTGGTTTTGTTCGCAGTCCTGGAGGCAGGATCACACCCACAAACGATGGCATGTTTCTGGATTGTGGGAGGGGGCTTGGAGGTATTTGAACTCAGTGATTGCAAGTGAGAAGCCCCAAGTCCTCAGCTTGTTGTTGCCAGGAGATGGAGCATAACAGCAAGGATTTAATGATCTCATGGGTTCCTGAAAGTGTTTGGGCTCTTGCTTTAAACTGAGGCTGTAACACACTTTCACAGTCCTGTGATCATGCAGTGATTCCAGATGGAATAAATCCAAGCCAGGAAAGATAGGCCTATTTTTTCTTGGCATTTAAAAAAAGCGAAATAAAATATTTTCATGCTGGGTAAGAAAGGGTCTGAGCTGCAGAGCTTGGGATGAAGCCTGTCTGTAGAGTGGGGATGCTTGAAAATGTTTCTAGCATTGATTCCTTTGTTCCTGGTCTGTAGGTCACAGGGCAAATATGTCCTGCTGTACCTGTGTGCACGTGCCTACGTACACATCCCTTCCTGACCACAGACATTCCTGATTTTCAGCTCTCTGACCACTGGAGACAGGATCTTTACACCAACTGGGTTTTTTTAGACTTCTCTGAGCTCATTCTTCATTCCCAACAGTGCTCGTGGAAATGTTCTAATAGGAAAAGCATTTCCTACTGCTCACCGGTGCAAACATGATCATTGAAAAGGAAAACAAAGCTCATCTGAGCCAGAAAGGAGACAGCAGCACAGGGGCATCCAAGGCAGTACAAAGGCAGAAAAAAAAAACCACTTCTGCCAGAAATAGCCGTGTATTTTTAACTCAGACATTCAGCCAGAAAGCAAACAAAAGTCATGCTCTATCCCAGAGCAAGGCAAAAAGCATTCCTCAGGAACGTAGCTGTGAGTATGTAGGCTGTGTCTAAGAAAAGGCCCCATGGGACATTGCCAACCACCAGTGACCTCGTGGTAGTACACATGGGGTTTTGATGAATGTCCGTGAAAGAGCAAGCATAGACATACACGCTCCCCTCACAGGAGGTGCCCTTCGGACACCCGGGAACATGCTGGTTCCTGACACTGATGGCAACGTGTGAGCAGGCAAGGGACATGCTGCTCCTCCACCCTACAGGGGATGGGTGACCACCTAGTAGGGATGCAAAGCCCAGCGTTCGCTCTTGCAGGGGGGTGGCTCAGGCTCTACCTGACTAGTGCAGTCTGATTCTTTCACCAGCCGTTCTCCCAAGGCCTCTTCCCTGGGTGCCCTGACTTTGCAGTGTGTGTGTTAGCTCCCCATTTGCTCTGGATTTGGGAGCTGAGCCCTGAGAATCCGTTTTTAGTTTTGTTCCCAGGCACGCCTGGTGCACATGGTAGTGAAACAGCATAGAAGGAATTCAACAGGATGTGCAGAGCAGCAGTGTGTGGAAAAAAACAACATCTTCCTCCTTGCAGACACTAAACATGTCCCCTTTTATCCCAAGAGAGAATAGATCAATTCATTCAACAGTGCTCTTGGCTGGAGAAGGGTGGCTGCCTGTCTTGTTTTTTAAAGAATGCCCCTTATTTGGTATCTAATAGACCGTAGTTCATATCCCATAAAAATGACAGTGACAAGCATTTTATTGGGTTTTTCTTCAGGCCAGTAGATACACAGAGTTAGGTAGCATGATTAGGGTCGCAGTCTTTGTAGGCAGATGCTCTGAACAGCAGAGGGAGGTTTGCTTGGCAAAATGCAGGTGGGACACCAAAGCCTCCCAGCATTGCTCTCAGTGGGGCACCCTGCCATCCTTCCTTGCCAAGGAGGCCAGAGCCCCCAGCTAGGTTTTGCCCCTGCCTGTGCACCCACAAAGTGAAGGCAGGTGTATTTATATCCCCTTCCCTAAAGTTTTCTGAAATACCCTCAGCAATCCAGGAGCTCCCCCAGAAGCCAGAGCTGGAGAGGCTCAGGAGACATTGGAAGTTCTGCCCTGAGCCCTGCGGTGCCTGGCGGTGCTGCGTGCGGGCTGTTTGTCCAGGCACAGGAATAAATGGTCCATCACCTCTGCTGCAGGCAGCAGTGCCCCGCCAGCACATGGCTTACACCAGCTGGTCGTCTTCAGACCGTGCTCCGCCACACATGAAATGCCCTGCGGAAAGGGCTCTCTTGCCAGGAGAACGTCTCTGCAGTATGTTCTGGTGGATGAGGCTGGGTCACTTCAGGTGAATTTTGTTTTGTGTTGGTGCTGACAGCTAGGCCAGCCTGACTTTGTAGCGTAGGCCAGTCCTCAGAATGTTTAGAGTCAATGTTGCCTTGAAGGTACTTGCCAAAAGCAAAGCAACCCATTGCCTTGTGTTCTGCGTTTGCTACCGTCTGTCAGGGGGCCACCAGGGCCGTGTTGGTCTGTTGTATGGGAGCGTGGGTTGGCTTTTTTGAAAAGCTGTAATTCTCATCCATGTGAGACTTTCTAAACCAAATGTAGCAAACCCCACCCAAGGTGGGAGAGAAGCTTTCCTTGGTCAGGCTGTTCAGACAAGAATCCCCCCAGATTCCTCATTTTCTGAAAGCTCAAAGCAAAAAATCTTCTTTAATCCATCAGTAAACAGCAAGTCCTTAATTAGAGGTGAGCTCTAATGGTTGATTTAAGGTGCTTTTAAGGGATGCCGCAATACCTGCTGTCCTATCCGAAGGCGTGAACTCAGCCTGCACACGCAGACCTGTGTGCTGCTCTCCCATGGTCGTTTTGCAGAGGGGAACCGAAGCTCTGTGCAGGGATGTCCGGGAAAAAAACTCATCCCAGGACTCCCAGGCCCCAAGCCAAGCGATGTAATCTCTGGATAAGTCCTGCTGTCCGCACAGCCCCTGTCCTCCTTCCAAAGGGACCTTTCTGCGGCGGGCAGCGACCTGGGACGGGGAGGTCCCATGGGTGTGGTGCCTGAGTCAGAGCTCCTGGGTTTGCTGCCCATCTCTGCCACCGACTGCCTCTTGTTTACCTCCCTCTTCCCCATCTGTTTGATGGGGTAATGCTGCTTCCCTGCCTACCCTGGGGAGGTTACAGAGGCGTGATGATGGCTGTAAAGTTGTTTGAGCTTTGGATGGCAGGAGCTGTGGTGGTGTTATTAGCATTGGTGATGATGATGCTAATTACTGAACTGCTGGGAAACTCCCCATGGGAGGAGGCGGGAGAGGGGAGGGGAGGCAGGGAAAAGTGAAGGGAGGCGAAGTGAGCTCGGGGATGGAGAGGAGCCTGTCCCTGCTGGCAGCTCTGTCGGGCCCTGGGAGAAGGGCTCAGCCTGTTGGCAAAGCCGTGGGGATGCTGGGATGGATAGGAGAAGCCATGGCCCAGGTGCTGCGTAAGGTAGGAGAGTGTGCCAGGACCCGCAGCAGGTCCCTCCGTGCGGCTTAGACCTTCCTGCCACCGCTGTGCAAGAGGCTGGTGTTGCACACGATGGAGAGCTTGCGCAGGAGGGTCACATCGCGTCGCTGGCGGGGCAGACAGATGGGCTTTCTTGCCCCTCCTGTGGCCCTGTGAAGTTGGGGAATTTCCCAGCTGTGGCTGGTGGTCGCTGGGAGGAGAGGGACTGGGGGACAGGCAAGGGCAGGCTCCTCCTCACCTTCAAGGTCAGGTCTGGAGCTCTCATGGGAACACTTTGCTCTCCACAGGCAGAGCAAAGGTGGGTTTGGTCTGGGAGAAACTGGTGAGGCTGAGACGCATTTGGTCACATTTTCTCTCTGTTGCAGCAGAGCCCTGAGCAAAAGCAGCTGCATTAGAGCTCGGTCCCTGTTGCGGGCAGCCAGGTCCAAGTGCTCCCCGGGACTCGTGCGCTGCACGCCTTCTGAGTTTCCTCTCTTTTAAAAGTAACATCAAAGCAGAAGGTTTTGTACCACATGAAGCTTGCAGACATCAAAGCCTTGCTCATAAATTTAACCCCTCTGCTCCGCTGTGGAGAAGGTCATAACGCTCCAGCTCTTGATTGACTTGGTAACAGCTGTATTTTAGAGGGTTACTAGAAGGATGGGATTTTTCTAACACTTCAGAAACATCAGAGGTTGTGTGTCCCTCACCCCCCTCTCTGAGGGAGCAACCACTGTGGAAAAAGGA